TAATGCAGAAAATTCAGAAATCAATTATTGTGCACCTCATTCCTAAAGCTGAATTAGAATATGGTAAACAACACAGAAAATCCTAGAAAGCGTAGGTATAAGTCAGAATTAACTTGATGGCACCTAATTATTAGATAATATATTTATAATCAATAGCCATTGTAGCAAAAAGCCACTGTGGAATGTGTCTTGGGAAGATAAGCTCACTGTCTCTAAGTGTAATAACTTCAGGATGAGAAGACGGAGGATGAGAGCTGTATGGAGCAGGGTGAACTGTACTAAATAGAGCAAGGGGCTACGACTCAGGAGACTGGGCTTCAAATCCCCACATGGGCATGAAAACTCACTGGGATACATGTGTGACACTGGCAAATATCTGACATACATTGGAAATCCTATCAGAATCACTGTAAGTGGATGTGATTTGAAAAGACCCCTGTACATCTCTCTTCCACTGGTTTTCCATCACCCTTCCAAGCCTCATATAGACAATGAAAGAGAAAGTCACACTACATTTAGAAATGGAGAAAAGTTGCAATCTGTTTACAAACCATCAATTTTTATTTATTTGCTTTATACAAATTGCAAGATACAAATGCATTTATTTATTCATTTTGTTTTCCTTGTGTGAGATTTTGACCTTTTGAAGTAGCTACATCTAGAACATACGCTGCTGGGAAGGAGTATTAAGCAAGCCACTGCAGGTTTAATTACTGGAAAGAGATTCCATTGGTTTGATGTGAGGAACCCAAGCCACTGACATATTGTTTTTAATCACAGACGACTAATGTTTTTGTTTAAATTGTCATAATCTAAGGTCACTTTTATACAAAAGAAAGACATCAACATCACATTGCTTTTTTTAATCTTTTTTTTTTAAACTAACACTAGCAAAAAAGTTGCTGCAACAATGTGCATAAATAATACAGGTTTTTTTCTTGGTTACAGGTGCTGCTGGCATATGAAAATATCATTAAAAGGGGGGAAAACAACACTTAAAAAAACTGGATTAAAACGAGTTCCACAATACTGCAACTGTGATCCTAAATGCACTCTACTGAGAATTCCTAACTTGTAACCTCAAAACGCTTAGAAATGACATTAGCAGAAATTGGTCACAGATTCTACTGAGCAATTATTTGAGAGCACTGGTGAGAGGTGATGGAGAACGTTCCTTGATGTTCCTAAAGCGATTTATAAAACAACTTCCTCAGTGGCAGCAAGACATGCTAGAATTACTGGGGCAAGACTGAAGGAGGTGGGAGAGTTAGTGGAAACTAGCACTTTCTTAACAGACAAAGGTGCAAATAGTGGTCCAATCCTCACTTCACATGCTACACCAATAAAACAGTGGTAAAGTAGTTCCCCTAAGACCTTGTACTCCCTCAGGTTTATCTCTAGATCACTCAGACACGTGCGCAAGTAGGACCACTACCTCAGAGTCCTTGGAAGAGGTAGAATAAGAAGGCATGCCCTGACTTTCAGAGAGGCCAACTGTAAGCAGATAATCCTTCAGGAGGCAAATTAAGCCTCTCTTTAGCTCTTACTTCCTCTCACCATTGAGCGATCACCATTAGAAAATGGTGCTTAGATGCCTTCACAGCAAGAAAAAACAAGAACACAATTTTGAAGGATGCACCTTTCCCTCAAAAATAGGGTATGTGGAGGGCAGGATAGCAGCTGGCAAAATGAGCATGGTGGAGCTAGGAAAATGAACCAGCTGCTTTCCAAGGACACCTTGCTAAAACTGCAAGCCATACCAAAACACATTCACATGAACACAGAGGTTTAAAAAAAAGAAAAGTGGCACTGCCATTTAAAAGCCACCTATATTGCAAGAATCCCAGTGGGATGCTGTGTACCAGCAAGACAATCTTTGTGGTCCCTGATATGCTACAGTCCTAGACATCTTCCTATAATGTACTTTCCAGCCCAGAGCCTCAACAGTCATATATAATCATTTGGCATGTGAATCCAGCCAAGCTAAGTGGCTTCTGTTAAGGATTGGGCCCTAACATCCAAAACACTCTCTCACCCAACAACAAGGAAATAAATGCATCGCTCGTCTTAAACTGACAGATTTTATTTATTTTAAATAAATTTGCTTTTAATAAAAGCAGAAAATATATATATGTATATTTAAATATTTTAAAATTTTTATTTTTAATTATTCTGATAAACTGCCCAAAGTGTCTCCATTTCAGTAAACTCAGTGGCAGGGCTGACTTCAGTGACTCCTTACACGGAGAAAGAAAGTTAGCACAAAATAAAACAATATGGATGAGAGGATACAGAGAAAAAAAACATATATATCTATATAAACACACACTCACACACATTACTGTATAATTTTCATAAAACATATATTAAGGCATGTAGAGGATAATGGAGGGACAGTTTTATAAGCTATCAGGTGCTACAGTAAGAGCAGAACCGAAAATTGTATTATTGTTATTTATTATTGTTATTCATTCTGGAATGTTAAATGTATTGCTGTAGAAGTAAAGGAATGAAAAAGGATGGTGCCCTGGAGTGTTCTATATATTGCCAGCAGGAATACTTAAATAATAAAAAAGATCCATAGGGAGACTGGGAGGAATGGGGGGGGGGATCCAATTAAAAGGCAACTTGCTAGTTATTTATCCACTGTGATATGTGAAATATTTTATTATGTGTTGAGAATCTTGTTCCTGATAATATCTACTGAGGTGAATTCTTAGAAATGATGCAGTGGGAGCTTCTCCCATTACTACTTTGGCGCTAAAATGAATGTGCAGAAAACCAAACCTGATAAAAGCAGGCATCATCATAACCTTTCTGGTTCAAGGCATCTTGCCAAGAGTTCTCCCCTGGGTGATATGAAAAAGCTCTGGCTCGGTGCTCTGATCTCCTGATGGCCTTAATAATATCTGTTGAGGTGGATTTTTTGGGACATGACAAGACGAGGACATTCTGCTATTGCTCCTTTGGCATTAAAAATGTCCAATCAAACAGAAACTGATAAAATTGGCAGCAGAGGCAAGCTCTGCTGCATGGAATGGGAATTTCTCCTAATAAGCATGTTTGGGTTTGCAGCCTCATAGTGCAATCTTTACTCAGAAGTAAGTCCCACTGACCTCATTCCCAATTAAGTGGCTACAGGCTTGATACCCACTTACTCAGGAGTATGCTTCAGTGAAGGTATAGTATTAAGCAGAATGTATACATGTGTTAGGCAGGGTCCTGATATATGAAGGTTTGCAAAAACGCAGTTCCTATAGGGTTGCTATGCCAACTCACTCTGCAATCCCCCAACCTGTCCTGGTGTGGACTAGCAGGGAGGAGCCCTGGAATCAACATAACTGCTCCTTGGTTGACAGAGACCAAGCAGCCCCCTTCTGCAGACACATCTTCATATCAGCGCAGAAGGAAGCAGATGTGGTCCTCTATGCCATTAGGCTGGAATTCACTGCTGATGGTGCTCTGGGACCTTGTAGATTTTTCAAGGCCTAACAGGTGGCAGGACATAAAACTCCCCCATCAGTCACTCATATTCCATGTGATCTCAGTTGAGTATTCACATTCCGACTCCATAGCCACCTACTCCCTACCCACTAAGCCATATAAGCTGGCAGTTGCAAGAACATGGGCTGTCTGTTCCAGCACTAACTGGTATATGCTGTAAAGAATCCTGAATATGTCCTTCTCCTCTCCCTGCCATCTGTTTCCCAACAACAATTTTCTCTCAATCAAGAAATGTCTGTCCCATGTAGAAAGAAAGTGCTATAGAGTGATAGGGGGAAAAGTTCAATCCCCCTCAGCCATGTAACATTTCTTTTCTATCAGCTGGACTCCTCTTGGTGTTTACATAAGTTGCCCCAGCTAATTGTGGCTGATTGGTGAGCTGCCTTTTCATGAACCCAGTTATGCAACTAAGGTGTCAGTCAGTTAGCCACAATTAGCTGCAGAAGGTTATAAAAATCTTATAGAAACACCAATAGGATTTCAGACATCAACTATTTTATATGTGACTGAGGCAGTCTCCCTCTTCAAAGGATGAGAAGAATAGTTTGTCTCTATCACATCGCATCTGGTCTTCATTTCAGGATTGTTAGATACACTGACTCACCCTCTACTGACAATCAAAGATGCTATCATATAGCTCAACCCTCACTGCCCAAAGAAAGAATTAGGCCATAAACTAGAACGTCTTGGCTCATCAACTTGACTACACTATGAAGACTGGTGTTTTCAGTGCAAGGATGGACCACATGAGGGCCTTTGGATGCTGTTGGACTTCAGCTCCCATCAGTTCCATTAATCATGGCTAACACGTAAGGAATTGTAGTTTAGCAATGTGGGGTGGGGGGTAGGGGCACAAGCTGTCCACTTCTGATTTAGAAGAAATTCAAGACGTTCAGAGTAACTTTCAAAACAGGTTTTTTTCCTGCTTCAAATGAGAAACAGGATCAGCTTTTCGTACAACCACAACATTGTGACGTGCTTCTCTTAAATAAGATCATTTGGATAGATTTATGGAGGAAAATGTTGAATGATGGTGGAATCTAAAAATGCCACTCATGGTTCCTCCAATTTTAGCAATCATCTTTCATCAGCCTTATGATATCAGTAGGAAAGCCATCACATAAGTAGAAAATAGCAGCCTATCCTATAATTTGAGCACTAGTTTGGAGCTTGAATTGAAGTTCACTTAAAGTTTGTCTTGAGTACTGCTGATTTTAAGAAGTCCAGACAGCATTATTCAAAACAATAGCATGGAAGGAAAATTTCCAGTTTAGATCTATTTTTGAATACAATTGATAAATATATGTATGCATGGTATGCATGGGACCTAACACAAGGTGAAACTGCTGACTTTTTGTGTGTGAATGCATTAGCATTTCAGCATAACTAAGTTGCCATTTAAAAGTCGAATCACAGTCTAAATCACTGGTTCTTAACCTTGGGTTACTCAGGAGTTTTGGACTGCAACTCCCAGAAGCCTTCACCACCAACTGTGCTGGCTGGGGTTTCTGGGAGTTGCAGTTCGAAAACATCCGAGTAACAAAGGTTAAGAACCACTGGTCTAAATTATCACCACCAAACATATTTTGCAAAGAACCCAGAACATTGTATAGCTAACAATCCAGTACTATTGAAAGCCCAATCATGTAACCTTCTGAAAATCCAATTTAAGGGAGTGAAAAGTCAAAAGTATCCTGTGTTCTTCTGATTAATAGTGAGAATAATTTTCATTACTTCAACAAAAGATGTAATTTGAAGAAGAGTGAAGGAACCTTTTTGGAAAGATTTCATCTAGTTCCACTTATATTGGGTATAGTTCATTGAGAGATCGTGTAGCAATTTCATATTTAGCATTGATGTCCCTACTATATTTTGGTAGAAGAAACACTGGCATACATGTTTAAGAACAATTGTTTTCAAAAGCTGTCTGTGAGAGAGTAACACAACTTTGGTGCTATATCTCTCTCTGCATTTTCTATGTAATGCCCTGTTTACGTCCCAGTACTCTGTTGTTGAACTGACCCGTGAGGCTCTTTACAAGCACATGCCAACTTTAATGCAGAACCTATGTGAGAAATGGATCAGGTGGATGGCCAAGTATATCTCCACTACTCAGATCATTGGGAACTTAGTTGCCATTGTGCTACATAAGTGATATGTAGAATGGATTCACCATAGTTGTTCCTCGCTGTGGATAGCTGCAGCATTGATCATTATATGTCATCATGTCAATTCTGACTTATGACAACCCTCCAGGGCTCTTGTTTTGTCTTTTTAAGTATAAAATACTCAGACGTGGCCTCATTCCTTCTGGTAGCCCTCTGGGACCATGCGTGCTCCAGGCAATTTTGGCTGGCTCCCTTTCCCGGGAGCCACAGTAGGGATTTGAATGCCTGATCGCTTTTTCTGCAGCCAGGTGCTCCAACACACTGAGTTAAACCAGCTTTTTATGCTGAATGGAAACTTCTAAAAGAATCTTAATATGGCAAGACTCCTCCTGACTCAGTATAGAGTAAGAAAACGAGGTCAGCACTACTTGAATTAATTGGGGGGAAAGTGGGTGGTTGGGGATGAAACTCTGTTGGTATCTATTTGAACATGAGCAGATCTCCATACTTGCTGCCTCTCTAATTCCTCTCTCTTCTGAATTAGATGTTCTTTCAAACTGCTAAAAAGACAACAAGAGCTCATCTGGGAAAGTAGACTCATCTGAGATGGTATGATATTGGAGCAGGTGAATCAATGGCCCGACACTCTTGACACAGGAGTTCATTTCCTCTAAAAGGTCATAGCTATAATTATCATGTAGCCTTGGTGTAGGAGATGGCTGAAAGGGCTGTGTGTGTAAAAGAGGAGGAGAACTCTGCTTCCACATTATCTACAGGTTGCTCTACTGGCAAATAAGAAAAAAGAGATGTAACAAAAGGTAGGAATCAAAGCCTTACCTCATCCTTTCTAGAAGAAGCATGCTTATATAGCACGGGGACTGACTCTGCCTATCTAATCCAGTTCACACTATATTCCATTTATCTGAACCTCCTGTTTTCATCATTAGGGCCTAGGGATGGTGCAAGAAATTCTTACATGTGTGCAGAACACAGGGATCTAACTAGCACATTGGGTTTTTTCCTGCTCCCAGCCCCATTACTTCGATGTGAGTCCTGAAAAACTCAAGAGGAAGAGGGGGAGTTTGCTGAGTGGCACTACCCTCATGCAGGAAGAAAGAGATGTCACCTCGTCAGCCCCAGTGGGGACACCCAGTCATACACTTTTTGAGTCTACAGGCAACTAGACTTCACTGGGTCACAGAAAGCATTAAAATGCCATCTAGTAGCCAGTCTAATCTGGCTACTAGTACCACCTGGTAACCTAGCCAAAGGTTTGTATCCTGACCTCAAATACATCTTTCACCCACACTCCTCCTACATGTCCACACACCTTGTACGCACCTTCTGTTCCATCCCAACCTTGAGCCTGGCAAATGAAAGAAACGCCAGCATATCACATCCTCACAAACAAACAGATCCCAAAGGCTCTTTTGCTCTCCCCACACTGGCGGCCTTCTGTTTCTGGTACTTTTCTTTTTCCTTCACCTACCACACCCACAAAGTCCCATCTGTCTGTCCATCCATGCTGCCTTCTTCCTTCTTCTATGAAGGGTCATGATCATAGGCAGAGACGGATGGCCGTGCACAGGTTTCTTAGCTCCAAATATTAAAGGTGCTAAAGCCATTCTAAGTGGGGGAGGAGACTAAAGAGGTGCGTAGTATGAGGAAGGAAAAACTGGATGCTTGTTTCATTTAGAGAGTAAGGAAGTCCCCAGCTGCAGTGACAAGTCTCTCTTCACACCACTCTCCTCCCCTGAAAAATGGGTGGAAGAGGACAGAGCCCCAGGAGACAGCTGCATTGATGTGGGGAGTGCTATCTCCCCCTGCTGATATATCAGCATCTGTTTTCCAGTTCAGTGCTGTCTCTCTTGTGCTCACCTACTCCAGGCTAGAATTGATCTTTAGCTGCTGGTCCTGATGCAGAGGATGCATCTTGCAGAGTCGAATGGCTCCTGTGCCCTGCACATTCAAACGTTTTTGAAGGGCTTGTCTGAAGAAGTTGTCCTTGGCCATGGTAGTAGCAACAACAGGGAAAACAGGGAAAAGATGAGAGAACCCACCTCCTCCATTCTCCTCAGAGGCAATTTTTCCTTTCTGAATGTTTTTGCAGCTCAACCCAAGGAGAGGGGTGCTGAGAAAGCCGTAACAATGGCTACATGGCGTGCATTGTTAAGTGGTTGTGTTGGGATGCAGACTCCTGTGTTAAAATGTGGCTCCATGGGATTTCACAGCATTTGCAGCAGCCAGGGCCTGTGCTGGAAGGAGGAAGGGAGAGAGAATAGTCAGTGACAGTATGCCTAAGGTAGGAGAGGGAGTAGCTGCAAGGACCTTTTACGTTTTCCCTATAATAGGTCTTCAGAAGCTAGGCATTTGACCAGCTTGCTTTAACACAATGGTTGAAATTCTGTTTGTTCTGATCCACATGTGCAGCTGTGGTGATGACATTGGAAGTGGCAAGTTGCTGCTGATTAGAAACTCCCTTGGGGATTTTGGGATGCATGTGACTTTATTGTGTTGTGTATAAGTTTCATACACCCCCAAATTCCCTTTAATCACCAATGCTTTGTCTTTAATCAGCATTGATTTCCCACTGCTGCTGTCATCTTTGTTGGGTGCAAAGAGCTGCGCAAGAGGATTTCAGCCAATATCAAACAGGGAGAAATTATTCTGAAACATTGACCCTTTGCAATGTCTCAAAGGTATTCACCAGAAAAGGGGGGCAATGCATGTTCTTTGGAACAATTTTCACCTTAGGGTTTCCCACCTAGGCAGAGTTACTGTCCAGAATGCTTTCACTGAGAAAGTGCACTTTTTCAGTATAAATTGGCATAGATGAATAATTGCTGACTGAATGAAATTACTTTGCCTCAGATACTCAGGAGATGGCAGGAATTCAGTGATCCATGGATCACATGTAGCTCCAACAGCCATTTTTGCTAGGCTCTTGCCTGACTTTGGACCACCCACCCCACTGAAAATGTTTTTGGCTAAAAATGGATATTCCTGTCTCAGAAGTGATTCTGCATTAACACAAATCTTATACATCTGTGAAATTTCTTAAAAATTAAAATAAAACCATGCAAAAATGGACTTTTGGCCACTTCTGGTTTTGTTTTGGGGCTCTGTGTGGCCTACAGTGGGTCCTGTAACCAGAAATTGCCCAGGCTTCTGCAATTTGCCTACCTCTGATCTAAGCCCTCATGGTGAACTGCTGAAGCATCTTGGACTTACTCTGTGGAAAGAGTTTGCGGTTATGTGGTAAAGACGAAGGTGTTAGCTTAGTAGACATCAGTGAATGGATGGGTTGATGAAGAATAGAGACTCTTGAAAAAGGAGCTTACCACTCCTTTTCTCAAAGAGTCTGAGGTATATAGAGAATGAGATGAAGTATAATAGAAAATGTGCTTACTGTATGGCTCAGACACGCATAAAATGGCTGTCGGCGCCCTGGGATGAGTCAGACGAGAGGGACTTGGTCGGTGGAGTCGGGGAGGCTGGGGAAGTGGGAGGGCTCGGGGTGGCACATTGAGCTGGAAACAAGAAATGGAGACAGGGCCTGAAGTACATACAATGCTTCAGCCAGAAAGGAAGAAAAAGGGAAAAACCGAGCCATGGAAACTAATTTCATTGAGCAAATAGAGGTTAAAAGAAAGAGGAGAGGAAGTGTGGTCAGAAATCACAGAGCAGTACAAAATGACTTCTTCGTTTCTGAGTCCTGGTGGATTGTGTGAGGAAAATCATGAAGCAAGGCAAGGAGAAGACCACCACAGCATTGGCCCTGCAGGGACTAAGGACAGCTGAATTATTTTATGCTCAGTGCCTCGTCAGCAAACAGTACTCAACATTAATATTCATAGGAGCTAGAACATCTTTGCAGCAACCCTAATGTGTGCAGCTATTCATCATACCGTTGAGACTCAGATGTGGTTTGAATAATAATAATAATCTCCTCTAGCCTTCTTTGCAGGGCATGGCCACAAAGCAGAGATAAGCATTACACAACAGCTTTTTCTACAGGTTTGAGCAGCAGCTGCAGCAGCAGTAGTAGTAATGGATCATTCAGAAGGAGATAGCTAGACAATGTGGTGCGGTGGGAGCAGGATTGATAACTTCTCCCCAGAGCAGTTCTCAAACCCAAGCATAAAAACCCCACAGCAGTCATGCTCTTGAGCCATTCTCAGCAGTTCAATGCTATAAATACATCCAATTGTTCTCCATCTGTGTATATGCAACATGGATCGAGGGGAGCACGTTAGCCCTGTCTCCTCCATTTCTAATTTTACTGCCCTCCTACCAAGGGTCCCTCTAAGACACATGGCTGGGTGAGCACGAGTGACTCCACACAGCTTTCCTCCTCCACACTCACAGCGAGCGTTTCCAGCTCCTTTGGTTCCAGTTGTGACGTAACCCCATGCAATGGGGCTGAAAATTAGAGGGAATATTGCCTCCTACATATGGGTATGTCATATCTTAAGTGTAGATTGTCTGTCCATAGGAGCTCTCCATGTGAGTTGGGACCTCAAAAATTGTGCTCCCAACTCACATGGAGGGCTTTGACATAGAGTGAAGCACTCTCTCTCTTCAGCTTACCACATGAAGCAGGGCAATAAGAAAGAAACACAAGGCTAGAGAGCTCTCCTCTACCCACACAATTAAGTAAGGACTGAATAGGGCTCATGTGCTTGGTTTGCTGCCAAACAATTCCCACAACAAGGTGGAGGAATTCAGATATAAACAGAGCAGGCTGCACCATTAGGCAGAATGAGGCATCTCTTCTTTCTTTCCATTGGCAGCTGAAAACCTGCCTCTTTAGAGGGGCTTTGGGGGGGCTACGTCGGCAATTAAGATGGGAAGATCTTTTAAAACTTGATTTATAGTTTCTAAATAATGATCTGAAATATATGTTATAGAGTTAAGTTTTATTTTGTTTGTTTTAAATTATTTGTACATTTTCAACCTTTTTGTATGCCACCGTGGGTTTCCGGTAGGGGAGAAAGACAATATAAAAATTAAGCAAACAAATCCTCCTCAGCCACCTGGATTTAGGTGTCAGGAAAGGGCACCAAAATTTTAAAAATCATTATTGTTGTAGTTTTACTCTTAGAAAGAAACATTTATAGAATTTTCGGTCTCGCATACCAAATAGCTTAGTGCTACCCTTGGGCAATATAAAGTTAATCTTGGCTCAGAGAGCTGCATTCATGGTTCTGCTGCAGGCCATCTTGATATCTTGTGGTCACAAATTTCATTATATTAAGCACTTGAAAAAATATCTCCTTTTGTGTGTCCCGAAACCTACCACCTCTGCGCTTCAGTGAGTGAACTCACGTTCTACCATTATGAGTGAAGGAGCAACATCCCCCCCCCATCCTTTCCTTCTAATGACTCTTTCCGCACATTACATAGTTCCAGACATTTCAATCACATCCCCTCATTTTCGCTTTCCCCATCTAACCTTGCACTTTGCCAAGGTTACATTGTTCTAGTGTTGGCCCACCTTAGCCTGCCAAGCGCCAGCATAGAAGCTTTGTAGGAATAAAAGTTACTTTCTCACTAAATTAGAAGGAGAAATCAACACTCTGGGAGGGAAACTGTTTTAAGCAGATCATATCACACAACTCTCAAATAGCTATCTTCTAATAAAAATTGGTGGAGCCTTCTGTGGATGAACTAGACCTCCTACAGCTCAATGCTCTCCAGATGTTTTGGACTATACTTCCCATTGACTCCAGCCAGCACTGGCAGTGGTATAGGATTACGGTACTTTTAGTCCACAATATCTGAAAGATCAAAGGTTCGGGAAGGCTGCATTCAACACTGTTATTACACCTGGTGGGGAAATCCTCTCTATCCCAGACCCTCTTTTCCCTTATTCAGATAGCCAGTGATTGCAGAAGCAGAAGTGAAGTAAGTTTGTGCAAAGGAGAAGCAGGTTCCTTGCTCCTAAGAACATTGCTGCCTACAGCCCTCTGTGTCATGAGAACCAATGCAAAAATTAGAGGGAAGATGGGAAGCAACATCTTATCAGAGCAGTACCAGCAATATTTAGCAGGGAAGGTTCAATAATTCCAGTCACACAACTCAAAAGTAAAAGCTCAAATCCTGGCCCTAGACTTAATGGAACTGGAAAGGGCCTTTTGGGAAAGAGAGTGTGACTTGTAAGCTTTTAAAAAATTGACGAGATTTCATATATTCAACAATGGAGGGTAACTTTTAATCAGCCAGGGCATTTGGACTGTGGCTCCTCCAGTCCATTACTGCTCACCATGCTGGCTGGGGCTTCTGGGAGTTAGTCCAAGACTTCTGAAGGGACAAAGATTCCCCACTGCTGAGGGATCCAAGGTATTCCCAGTTCTCTAGAAATCATGTTGCCTGTACATCTCCTATGGAGAGGCAACAGCACTTGCCAATTATCTGCCAAAGCTCCTTAAGGACTGTAAATTATAGGTGAGCATAGCAATGTTTGAAATGGTGCCAAACCTTGCACAATTTGAGAACCCCAACCAATTAATTTGTAGTTTGTCCTTGTTTGGCACTTGGCACCAGCCACATGGATATGCCCCTTCCGACACATCAGCAACTACTGTAAAACCAAAAACAGCACAGCAGCTCGTTTTGTCTTTGTAAGACAATCCACTGGTCTTTATAAATCACTATAACTAATTTAAAATGGTGACACAAATTCGTACCAGCCAGTGCTCCAGCTGTCAGATCTGGCTGATTTCTAAAGCACATTGGTTGCTTGAACAGGGAATTATGTAATCCTTTCTAATCAGGAGTTATACATGCTATACTTAAATGCAGAACACTCTATGACTGACAGAATACATTGGTAGGAGTGAAAACTCATTTTTATTTCTTCGGGTATTTGTTTGTTATTTTCATATTTATAGCCCATCTGTCCTCTAGTCGGTTCAAGGTGCAGTACACTCTATTCTCACAACAACCCTGTAAGGTAGGTCAGGTTCAGAGACTGCGCCTGATCCAGATCACAGAGTGGATTTCACAGCTCAGTGGGGATTAGAACCTGGATCTCCCAAGGCCCAGACTAATACACAGACCGCTGCCATTACACTGGCTCCATTGACTAACCTTTCTTGCAATATTGCATAGGCTTGCACCTTACCAGAGAGCATGCGGCCCCTTCGGGAAGCTTCTGCAGCCAAGGCACAGGAGATCTCGATCCGTTTCTCCTGCTCCTGTAATTGGGTCTCAGGGTCTTGGGGTAAGTCTATTTCTCCCTCATTGAGGGGGACCACATTCTGCATGCTGCAAGAGAGAAGATGTTAGGTTATCTCCAGGAGGAACTGGCCATCCCGTGACATATTCTCCACAAGAGGGCAGTCACAACACAGAATGGCAAGTCAGAAGGATGGATGCTTAGATGAGGGGTAGGAACACATGAAATAAGAAACTTATATTTCGATTTAATTTCCGGCTTTGTCAATATTTGTTTACATTTATACTTAGCTCAATTTGAGTATGTCTTATGGCTTATTAAAGAAGATGGTTAATGGAAAAGAAAAAAAATACATAAAGTAGGAATAGAAGGTTCCATCCTGTACAGCACCTGGATTTGGCAATCAGCGTCTTTATCCTTTCCACTTTCTTCTGTTTCTCCTTCATCTCCTCCGGGCTCAAGGGTGTGTCAGGCTCTAGCTCAATGTACCTTTCTGGGATGAGGACTTTGTCTGGGGTAGACAGCTGAAGAGAAGATAGAGGCAGCCTGTCAGTTCAAAACACAGAAGCGAAGGTGGATCCCCTGTAAATGGGCTTTGCTAATGTAATTGTTGCTTGCTTGCTTGACTTCACTTTTAGACCACCAGTAACCATAAGCAATATTCAATAGATCCAAAGATTCCAACATCTCTCCAGAATTCAACTTTTGGCCATGACCTTAAGAAATGTTCCAGATTAAATCTTATCTCTATCTCTGATTTTGGCTATGGAACATTTTCCAGATCTTCCTTCATCTCGGCATCTTCTCATAATGGCAAAGACCGGATCCAAAAAATCCTCTCCCTCAGCATTACAGCTACCCCTCACCTGAGCCCACACACTATATAATCCCATGACCTTCAAGGGGTATCTAGCTCAAACCAGGCATGTGCTTCTTTGATTTTCAGAACAAGCAACTAAAGCTCATTGTAAATTTCTGGAAGGAGGAGATCTTGTTCTAAATAGGCTATGATAAACAGTGGGTCCTTCTCACCTCCTTGCTGATGTCCACATCATAATGCTCTGGTTCCAGCTCCATTTTGCGGAGACGAGCAATCTCCTCTCGAGGAGTCTCATACATCTTGCCAGAGTCTTCAGAGCGTAATGCTGCTTCCAAATCTGATATGTCCACCTCATGGATGCTGCGATGTCTGCGTACCTAGAACCACATCCCTTTCAAGTCAAAGTATGAAGCAGTGGAGATCACCACCTTTAAATTTACTATTTTATATACGGTCATTACCATTATCTTTTTTTCCCATCTGTTACATTTTATGGAAGTAGTGGACAATAAATGGAGTTTGGGCATATTTGTGGGCATTTCTCCCTCCCTGCTGTCCCATTTATTTCAGTGGTATGGGGCAATGTTAACACACACCCCTTTTCACCATGTTAAAGTTTTTAAAAAGACACAGGATGTGTACATCTTGTTTAAAAAGAAACTTATACTCCTTGAAGTGTCCTAGAAACATAGTTCTGATTTAAAGCATGGTGCATACTCCACACATACCTTGTTTAAACCAGAAGTGGGAGTTGTTTACTTTCACCATTACACTTTTTAAAACCCCTTTCGGGGACTTCTGTTTTTTTGGGGGGTGGGGTTCTCTAGTTCGGTCCATTTCCAAAGCATGTGATCCCCGGGAACAGACCAAAATCGAGCCTTGCATCTGTCACAGCCGCCAAGGCTCCTTCTACTGTCAGTTTCCAGTATCATGAAATGGGTTAATAATGAAGCAGGGTAGGTGAAGCAACCCTATCTAGACAGCATCAGCCCACCTCAAAAGAACCAGTGTAGCTGTAGCCTCAGTTATCTCAGATAAGGGAAGGACTGATCACCCCTCATCCCGTTAAGAATTTTATGAGTTCCAGGCAATCCTTATTTATGTTTGGCTTTATTCTGGAGCTTTAAGGCCTGCAGAATTATCCTCTTAGAACCCAACTGACCTATCTTTGCCCAAGTCAATCTTGGAAAGCATGCAAGATTAAAGGTGCTTCTCTGAAGGTTCATAGGGTTAATGCCAAACCCATCAAGGAAAAGTTGGTTAATACAGGATACGTTACCACTTTGTAAGAGGCAGGCGCTTTAGTGAGGGGACTATCTGTCTGTTGCTGATTGGCTGGAAGCTGCAAGCTCCGCCTCTTCTCCTTCATAGAACCACTCTGGTGACGCTTCATACGATCAATCTGCTCCTCAACACTCATCTTTGCCTTCACCTCATTTGAAAACACAGCACTCTTTGGTCTATCCTGAGGTAAAACACAAGATCCTTGTGGTTATGGACAGTCTTGGGGTTTTCCTTTGCTTATACAGTGGTGCCTCGCTTAACGATGATAACCCATTCCAGGAAAATCGCTGTTAAGCAAAAACGTTGTAAAGCGAAATTAAAAAACCCATTGAAACGCATCGAAAAGCGATTGCAAAAACATCAGTGTAAAGCAGATTCGTCGTAGAGCGGGGTAATCGTCCAGCGGGGCACACCTGTATTTATAGCCCACGTTTCTT